CAAAAACCACAGAAGTTACCTACATGTATTACCACCTAAGCACATGTACAGACTGTTGAAATTAAAGTAACCAAGTACCCAGTCTTTCCACCTTTCCATCCAGCTTATGCAGCCACAGGTTAAAGGAAGTTTCTTGAGTGGGCCATCAGTCCATGTCCGTGCTGGAAAATCTGGGAAGTCCAAATCCAATGAACATACAGTTGCCACATAAATGGCAAAAGTTCACTGTGTAGATTCAGAACAGAAGCAAAGATAAAAAGACTGTCATCACCCCAAAGAAGCCTTTCTATCCTGCAACAGCATAAATTCAAATTGAGAAGGAGATATCTTGCACAAGCACATCTCAAGAAATAAAGAGGACAGGACAAATTACTTCCACAGTTATTAGGATGATGAAAATATGATTTTCTTCATTCAGCTGTTCTCACCTTAACTTTCAGTTCTGGTCTAGAGAAGACCTTATACATACAAAAGGATATTCAGAATATAAGGCTATTTCTCACACATAGAATATGAACTGTACATTTTCTCCTCACATAAAGAAAGCAAGGCATTGCTTTAATCTCTGGATATTACCATACCATTAATTTCTCCACAGATTTAGAAGTATACTGACAGACTCCTTGCAAAGTGTGAGGAATATCAAAATATCAAAAGGAGGGTTCAATTTTACATTTCAAAAAGGATTCTCTGCTACAAACCAAACGTCAGTGACTCATCAAGTGGCACGTGCTTTAACACAGTAGGATGACCAACTCTACAATCCAAGCATAAAAACTGAAATTTTATGGAGCGTGATGTCATTTTTTTTGGCAGTTGTTCCTTTGACTCAGGAAATATTTGTGAATGTTGTGTATCTGCCATGTTCTGGTACGAGATTTTTACAATTTCTTTTTAATGGTTTTACAAGAGAGTAGAAAAAGCGAGATTCTGATCAAGAGGAACAGGAGACTTGCAAATTAGCTTACGCGCATCTACAGTTCTATGATTTCACAATGATTAGTTTAATCTTACTAACGTTGCAATCACAACATTTTAATGTACACGTGATTAAAGACAAATCACCAGGTAAATCTTGTAGCAAGATCGTTAGAAACCAATACTTGACATTTCCTGCTCATCATACTGAACAGAATTTCTGTAATGCAAGAAATGCAGTCACACAAGCTCAGTTGCTGACATAAATCACTCTCTAATTTGTTGATGGTGGGGTTGATGAGAGGGTTTTTTCCCCCAAAAATGCAAAACAAATATACAACTTGACCATTATGTTTGCAAACAATGTGAGTCACCATTTTTCAGAAAGATTCCTGCATGTTAGCAGGTAACACCCAGAAACTGCTTTTAGAAATAACTATACATATGTGTATTTTTGGGAGATAGCTAATAAATCTACATACACAGAGCTTTATGGATGAATACTGTAGATGTAAGCTATGATTCTTCTGAATACTCTGGCTCTTCAATAGCTTTCAGCTTTGGTCATCAGAAAAATAAACAATAGACTTTTTTTCTTTTTTTTTGGCTGAGAGGTCAAAGCTTTCTTCACATCCACAGCAAATTAGAGCAAGAGAGTAGACAGTAAGGATCAATGTACAGTAATGCAAAAAAAACTCGAAGGCTTTGTGGAAGGAGGCAGTAAGGATATTCCTGACTTCCTCCTCCTATTTCTTCTTCTAGATACACACAAGTCAGTACAGCATCTGGCTTTATCTGTCAGGGAATTTCTAACTGGCATCTTAAGGCAGACATGAAGGTGGATTAGACTGCCTGGAGACACAAGAAGTAGGAAGGAAGGAGACAGAGGTTCAGTATCTCAGACTTCTTAACATCTGGATTGGTAGGAACTTAAGGTAGGAGATAAATCTTGCACATATGACCCTCTTTAACTGTCTGAACAAGTCTTTAAACGACACTGGCTCTACCATTGGTAACTCTTGACTAGTCTAGTCATGTTCCAAATGTTAGACCTCCATTAAGGACAAACATTGAAATGCATAGTTTTAATTACAGATGGGGAACGTATACTTGAAACTTGTTACTGGAACCTTAAAGAGATCTTAGAATGATTCATAGGGAGTTATACGGGAAAACTGCACCACCTGCATTCATGGCGAGGAGTTCTACTCCCATACTTAATGGAATATCCCATGTGCACCTTCCTCACAAAGAGGGATGTGAAATATTAATCAAACCAAACATAACACCGATCTTTTCCCTACATTATCACAATGTTATGAGAGTTGACAATCAACTGACCAGCATCTATGCAAATACTAACTGCTGGGTCAGTTCAAAATGACAACACTGCAACAATGCCGAATATGATTCATAGGTGTCAATAAATGTCAGAGAATAAAAGACTATTTTATTTTCTGCCCAGAGACAGAAAGTTGAAGAGAGGCCATGAGCTGACTACTGGAGTCTGTGCTTTTACCATCGCTGGGAAACGTCTTCTGGCACACAACAGACAAGAGATTAAATGGAGTACAGCACTTTCAAAGACACTACAGAAAATATTTTTTTTCCCACAGACTCCTGCATATAGCTTTTATAATTGCTGTATTAATATCGTATCCTAGGCTATCATGGGTATACCTCACAATCACATGAATATAGTCTCCTTACTTTTCAGGAAACATTTGTGTACTATCCTGCAGCAAACGTTTAAAGTAATAATGAAGGCAATCGCAGCAGCAAAAGTAGACTTCTCAGGAGCAGTTTGAATAATTGTGTCAAAAAAGATTATTGTATTTGCATGCTCTTCTAGCATTCAAGAGATATGAGCTTGTTTTCACTTTGCAGTACAATTAACCACAGAAACTCCCAAGTGGTTAGTATGAATGTCTTGTGAAGATGATTCTGCCAGGTCAAACAGCAAATCTACTCTAGATGAATTCAGACCAGTCTTATATAGCTGCAAGATGTACCTGGTGAAGGCTATCACCTTCATCACTCTTGGGAAACTGAATCTTCCATTTGTCTTATTTAACTGTGAAAACTGATGCCCAGATACCAAGTTCACATACAAGGTTTTACAGACTTTTTGTTTAATAAGGTGTGCATCTGAATAGTTAAACAGTATTACTTTCATAGCCCAAGTTTCATAAGCTTATGTTTCATTACAGATTGTACATGTGCTGAATTCTTGTCTAATGACCATGTAATAGGGCACGTTCAATTATTCTCTTTGGGTTTTAGAAAGAAACAGGAAGTTTGGCTATAAACAAAGCAGTCATAGAATAAATTTCACCACAGCAAGTTCATCTGAAAAATATGCATTCTTTGCAACACAGCCAGGAATGGCATTACGAGAACCAACATCCTGCTGCTCTTTTTTTTTTTTAATATATATTTTTTAATTTATTTTTTCCTTGCCTGTTTGCTGTTGTTTGTTCTTGCTTTTGTAAATTTGTTTTGTTTTGTTTTTATTTTCCTTATTACTACTACTTAAGCAACATAAGAAAGTAACCTTTTAGTTAGTACTGTTAATACATGTTTTGTGATGAGCATTACTTGAAGGATGTGGATAGTGAATCAAAAGCAGCTGCTAGAAACCACAGGATAAATAACAAGTTTGCTAAATTTAGTATATGTTATGAAATACATAGAGTGGAAGAAATCAGCCATTTCAAATTTCTATCAGCTGGGAAGGAATTACTATAGAATGTTTTGCTCTTTAATTATAAAATAAAGGAAAGATGATAAGCATTAGTAGAAACATGTCAATTGATCTACACTAAAATAGATTTATCTGCTTATATTTCTGCTTTTAGCTCCTGCCAGTAACACAAAAAACCCACATCCATTCAAACAGTAGTGTTAATGAAACAGGAACAGCTATCATTCCCTGGCTTCCAGTCGTGCCTAGAAGAAGTCCAATGTTGTTATTGCTACACTGTGTCTATTAAATATTTGACAAGATAAAGATTTCAACTCCAGTATTAAGCAGAGTAAATTTGGATCACTAAAAGCATTTTCTTAAATGTTTTTAATCAGATGTTATAGTTCTTCACTAAAAGAAAAAAACAAGCCCTTTATCTAGTTATCTATGTATATCTATTTTTTTAATATACTTAATGCCAAGGTTTTGCTTATTTTTGATTTTTCATTTGGGAAAGAAAATATTTCAAAACATAACAGCAATGGTCCACAATTACAGACTGAATTAGGATTTCCCTAGGTTCTAGCTACTAAAGATTCCAAGGATTATGTCATAGCATAGATTCTGTGAAGTACTCTACATAAAATGGGAAACAAAATGTCTATTTTTGAAAGACTGAAGTTGCCCAAAGATAATTAAATGCATGTTTAAAAATCAAGGCTGCCAAACAGCTGACACCCAAAATCTGACCTACCTAAACTGAAGAATTATTCCAGCAGTTTAAAAATCTGGACATTTACACCCACACAAGTCTTGCCAATAAATGCACTTATAGAAATGTGTATACATTACAGCACACGTGTACATGTTTGCCCTGTGCTAGACTGATAGAGATGGCCAGTAGGGGGAGCAGAAGTTAATAAACATTCATCGTAGAACAAAACAAAATTCCTGCTATGTCATACGCTGAAGTAAATGAGAGGAACATTACGTTGGCTGTCTCATTAACAACAACAAAACAAATGGAGGAAAAAAAGGAAGTAGATATACGATGGAGAAAAAAAAAGCCACATGGAAAAAAACAAGAGGCAATGGATACAAATTGTACCAGGGCAGATTCTGACTGTATCTAAGAAGAATTTTCTTTTACTGTAAGAATACTCAATTATTGGAATAACCTCCCCAAGGACATGGTGGATTCTCCAGCTCTTGAGACTTTTAAAGTTTGGCTAGACAAAGTGTTACCTTGGAACAAAAACACACACTTAAATAAGACAGAACAGGACATCCTTAGCAAGAAGATTAAAATATTTCCTAAAATTGTCCTCTGTTACATTAATCTTGTATTTCTAGACACCTTTTTCTACACTCCTGTGACTTATTGCAAAGGTGTTACCTGTAGATTAATCTCTGCTTCATAGAAAGTTAGGCAGGAACAGTAGTGTCTCTCCGAGTCTATATCAGTCAAAACCACCACAAAGAACGTCGGCTGTTTTCTCTCTTTTGAAAGCTGCCATCCTCCAGGTTGGCAAAACTAATGAAACAAAAACAAATAAAAGAGGCATTTAGTTATGCAATATCTTCTTTTCTTTTTTTCTTTTTTTTTTTTTTTTAAGAACCATGGAAAACAGTTTTAAGCAATACAACAGAACATCATCTGAAAAAGAAGCTCAGAAAATTTCACTGAAAGCAAATGTATACAGAATTGAAAAACTTTGAGAAAATGGGAAAAATCTAGTAGGTCACAGCTAATTTGATTGATAAACATCGAGGGAGATGTTATACACACTGCATATTCTATACACATTAACGAGAGGTCCCTATTCAGTATTTATTATAATCCATACAAGAATTTAAGCAGCAACTTAATCTAAACTAAACAATCATTTAGATAATGATTTAGAATTTGAAGCTAAAATCATTGTCTTGGAATGTCTCTGCTTACATTTTTAATTTTGCTTTGTTTTTAAGGAACCCTAAAACTACAGGTTGCAACCTGCTGTTCCATTACAAACACAGAAGTGCAACTGCAATTAGCTTTGGAAGTATAAAACTGCTGATATACTGTATAAATGTACACATTTTTGTGCACATTTGTACACTAAGAAAAGCTAGTCAGGATAATCATAAAATACAGACATAGAAAGCTGCTTTCAGATTTGATTGATTTCAGATGCAGTGTCACAACTACAGAGTAATCTTTTCCTGTTCAAGTACCAGCTGCATCCAAACCTTTTCTTTTCCCTAAAACAAACCTTCCTGTTTTTAAAACAAAATTGTTCAGCACATAGGATTGATCTTTTTACTTCCCAGCAATCAAAGGATCATACGTACTTGTTCGTAGTCATTTTAAGGAGATATAAAATCTAAGAATGGCTACATTAGTTAAGACAAGTCCAGAACGCTGTTTCCATCAGAACCTAAGAGCAGCAGCTTAAAAGCAGTACAAGATTGGGTAACTGCCCAGTTACTTCTGTTCTCTTACCAGCAAAGTTTCCAGCAGCCTCCATCTGATGAGCCTTCTGAGCCACAGGCAACATACTTGTCCTTAACATTTACTGATAGCTACTAAAACTGTCCCTGGCTTTCCTTATTAGTATACCTAGTCAGACTTAATTACTCTGTTTACAACTACTTGCAAAAATATTCAATACTCCAACAATACAATTACTCCAACAAAAGCCTATTTATAGAGCAGTACTTTTCACCTACTTAAGGATTACCTCTATAAACCTCATTGCAAACATCTGAAATTTTCTAAGAGGTCGTATCATAACAGGTATGTAAGCTTTTCCAGCCCTGTAAAAAGTAAGCTCACATTTCATGGCTTTATAAAGTTGGGGACCAAGACAATTTCTTGCCTCAGCGATGCTCCAATCACATCACATGTTCTCAGAACACTTTATTACTGAGCTGTTGCAGCAATGAGCAGACTGCATGATGTGTTATACCTATAAGCTTGAGTCTCTTCAGTATTTATCCCTCCAAGCTGACATGAGCTATGGCATTTCAAGTCACCCTCAACATTGACAGGAATTCTGACCTCAGAACAGAGGTGCACAAGCACTGTGAGTAAAAAGAGAAACAGAGCACAAAAGTGAAGAGAAATCTATATAGGTTTTTTCTTCTTTCAATAACAGAGTACATCATTAATAACTTGCTCCCAGAGATGGGAGACTGGGCTGAAATATCAAAGTCAGTTTGATGAAGAACCTTGAAATGGTCTTTATGGAATTTCGTATTCATTATTTCTCTTACTGAATTCTTGAAATCACATACATAGAAAATTCACAAGCACATCATTATTAACAAAATCCTAAACTTAGAATTTACAAGGGGTAAAGACAACAAGACATGCTCTGCATTAGGGAAAAAAAAATCTAGAATCGTTCAAGAATGCAGAGAGCAAAGGAATCAGAGAGGTTGAGATTTCGTGTTTCCAGCACTTTCTCTCCATCCCCCCAACTCCCTCCCAGACAGCTGATGAAAACTGAAAGCATAAAATAAGTTGCACACAAACATTTACTACAGATTCATCTTTAGAACCTCTGCAATAAAACTTGGGTATTCTTGGGCAAAAACCAGTTAAAATTCTGTCTCTGATACTCTGATACACAGTTTGTTTTATGATCCTGGGAAAATCTTCCAAACCAAAAGGTTCTCATGTTGTATTCTTCATATTCAGGATAGACAGCTTAACACTTCTGAGTCTTTATTCTTAGAAGTGCTAAGCACTCCCTCCTGCAAATGAGCATAACTGTTCCAAACATCAAAAAGTACTCTGTGAAAAGACATCCTAGTCATTCCAAGCTAAGCATCCAGCATTAACCAATGAGTTTGATAATATTGGCCTTATCTCCCTTTGTTTTTCATCCCACATCAGTTAAAAATAAGAAAATACCACCACTGATCTTGCAGGACTTCCATAAAGATAACGTAATGTGGTAGATGTATACAGACATCGTAATGAAAGGATCATCAAAGTCTGATGATGAAATCATGTGAGTTCTGTATGTATCGTAGAGTTTAGGAGGTGTGTGGTAAAAAGCCTGGAATCTGTATCTCAAAAAGATACAACAACACACAGCCACTGGGTACCCATTTGTTCAACGATGACGAGCCAAAATGCAAAGAATACAGTAAAATCCTAATAATAAAGAAAGTCAGTATTTTCACGGTTAAATGTGAATCATACACACAAAGTAGGCCAAGTTAAGGTTGTTCATGCAGCCTTGGCTCCAGCACTTCTCAAGCTCTGCACGCTCACATTTACGGCTGTTGCATTCCTTCAGACCTGCCAAGCCTACCTGTTCTGACAGGAGCTCCGTGATCGCTCCCAAAGGCTCCGCTCGTGCCCTCCTGCCACAAATGCCCACTCCTTGTGCTCTGAGAGGAGCTGAGGGCAGGCGTCATGGCGGATGCGGCTCCATGCAGGAAGCGAAGGGGCAGCGCTGAGCTCTGCTCTGTGTGACAGCGACAGGGCCTGACGGGATGGCATGGAGCTGTGTCAGAGGAGGGTCAGGTGGGGATTAAGGAATTCTGTGCCAGAGGGCGGTGGGCATGGAGCAGGCTGCCCAGGGCATGGCACCAAGTGGCCGGAGTTCAAGGAGAGCTGGACAGCGCTCTCAGATACAGGATTCAGGGCAGCCCTGTCTGCTGCCAGGAGACCTGGTGGGACCCTTCCAACTTGGCATATTCTATGATTCTGTTCTAAGGGAATGCAAGACCCAGGATATGCAATTAATCCACTAGGTGTTCAGAACACAAATGACAAACGTGAGGTTGGGATGTGTGGCTTATGCGCAGCCTTTTATTTCAGAACACACGCACAACCTGTCAGCTTTGAACTTCCAAGCATCAGTAAGTCTAATCTTATTGTTTCCAGGCTTTTAAAAATAAAGTGCATTTAAATGATAATTCTTTTTGTTGTGATAAAACGTCATTTGCAGGTCGAGCAGTGTCGTAATTATCAGAAGGGACTGCTGACTTGGGGAGGGAGCTCTCAATAGCAACCAATGCTAATAGCTTCTACGGAAGCTCGAATCTGACTCGTGTCAGTGAAAATTCTTTCCAATCTAAAAATGGTCTTGAGTATAAAATATGCTTTCTAGATTTCATTCTTTACTAGTGGACAATTAGTGACTGTTAAGGAAAACATCTTAAGCAAAGTACACCCACTGGCTATACAGAGAATCTGTTTTCAAATAAACTGGAAGAAATTTATAGAGATTGAGGATAAAGACAACAAGCTCCTCCTTGAAATTAAACAACGAATGAGTCTCAGTTTAGTTAAAATAAGGTAATAAATATTAGTGTAATACTTGAAATACAAACAGCACTGAGAAGAACTTTCCAAACTAGTATAAACGCAAGCTACTATCCACTATGCTTGCCATCATAGTCTGGCCAGTAGGAAGAGAAAAATGTTTCCTTACCAACCAGATGCTATACACCAAAACAGACAAAAGCACCACTGTGAACATAATTCAAAGATCATGTGCTTCTTCAGTAAACAGGAAAAAAACTCAGAAGTTTAAAAATGAACACACTCCCATATTGTTTCACTTATTTGCCAGAATTCTTGGAACCTGAACACAGCTTCTACCAATGACACTGAAAATTAAAAAAAAATCAAACTGTCCAACCCACTGTTTATAGAATTAAGCCTTTAAGGGTGGTGAGTGCTTCAAATCCACTCCAGATCACAAGTGATTGCCTTAAAAATCTGGCAGAAATATTCAGAAGTTGAACTGAAGAATATGAAACAGAGATCTTACGGTCAAGGTGTTGAAATGACATTTTAAGCACTGCCCGAAACCACAGGTGTTCACTGAAGCAAAGCACTGTCTGTCAGTAACTCACACAGAATGCTTTCAAACCAAACAAGAAGTTGGTTATAAAGTGATGTCAAAATAAATTAGTTACGCATATCAGCACTGAATATATTGTATGTAGCTTTCTGAAGTCTGTTGAAAAATTAAAGAAAATTGTCACAATCTCACCCAAGCACTGCAGCACTTAAGATGAGGCTTAGTGTGAAAGTGAATACTTCATACTATTGCTATACTGAACAGTATTTACATAGTATTCTAGTTTCATTACAGAGCAATGTTAGTAATTTGTATACTTATTATGGAATAAGTATATTATTTGACTTTTAAATCGATTGGACAGAAATTATCCATTTGCTGAACTGCAATTTAGAAGTTTGTCATTTATCTCAGAGCTCGCACCCCAAGAATAACCAAACAAAAACTCAAACCAGTGTTCTGGTTGGATCTGTTCAGCTACAGCCAGGAAGACTGCTCAGTCTGCAGTTCACATTGTTCTCTGTATCAGCATTCCAGTCAGCTTTCCATCAGAAATCCATTACTTCTGATGGCACTGCCGAAGTAGAAAGGGGAAAAGCTCATTCAGGAAGTTTACAACACGATACACTTTTTGCAAGTCATCATTTGAAAGCATTTTTTGAAGAGATTGAACGGAATAGAAGATGACATCCATGAAATACCACTACCGACCACTGCACTTCAA